CTTAGTCAAAAGGAAGACTGGTTCCATGCTGCATTTATATTTCTGTATATAGAAACTGAACTAGAAGTACAGCGTGGTCCATACCTCAATCAGCAAGATGCACGTTGCTCTGGACTTCATTGGCAGAAATTCAGCATACAGTGTCACCCTTATGAGGAGGGACACTTCAGCGTTAATCCAAACTCCAATCATTAATCACAGTTTTTAGAGAGATGAACGAGGGTTACTCACGACTGTGGCGCTCCTCCGATGCCAAAGCCCACCAGCGCACGGAGGACGAGGATCCACCCATATATAGGAGCAAACGCGCTCATCAGGCCGTAGAACATAGTCCACAACACGCTCATCTTCAGGCCCTGTGAGTGCATATGATCAACACAGAACAAGCTGCTGAATAAAAAATGGTGGCCAGGTAGGGATCGACATTATAAATAGCTCACCGCTGTTGTAATATGTTTCCTTTTAGAAACTCAGAAGCTTAACTTTTAACACCTCTTTCAGAAACAGAGATAAATATAAATCAACTCCATGTCAACAGGAGCGGTATTAGAACTTACTGTCTTTCTGCCGTATCTGTCAGATATGTTTCCCCAAAGAGAGGAGCTGATCATCATCCCAATGAAAACTGCCTGCATCAGTAACAAAAAGTGACAGATGTTAGTGGGATAGAGCAAGCTGCAGCAGTTTAAACACGCATGAATTTCACTGCACACAGCTGGTGTTATGTACATCCCCTTTTGCATATTGATTAAACTTTAGGTAGCGTATTGTTTTAGTTTAGCCACGAAAATGAGAAATTTTCAGGGCAACAAGCAACAGCGATTAAATCTCTTATGATGCTGTATGCCTCAATGCTATACCTTCAGTAAAACCTACTGTAATTTCCTTGTTTGAATGCTGTTTTGTCTTATACTCACAAAAGTAAATATGGATTTGATCGTCATTATAATCAAAACACTGCAACATGTATCTAATCTAATGACATTAAAAGCTGATATCAAAATAATCCTTGAGCTCTTAATCAATTAAAACCAGGACAGTCTCTGCGAGCACGAGCACTTTACAGACATTAGGGAGCCATTACCGATGTAAGCAGTGCCACCTCGAGGCTTGGCAACCTCCATTCACAGTGCAGCTGAGGGGCTAAGATGCTGAGGATCATCATCTCCATAGCATCAGCCATCTAATGAACAGAAAACACAGAGACACAAGATGAGTCAGTAGACACAGTAGACACAATATTGTGGATGGTGTTTTTTTGTTTTTAATAAGCTTTTCTCACCCAGGACAGACCAGTGAGGATGGAGAGTTTCCACTGGAATGTCCCAAAGCCTATGGCCTCTACGGCATCTTCTACCATAAATGTATCTAAAGAGACGAGAAAGAAGGGACTCTTAAGGGACACATGAAAGACATTACTGGACTGTGAGTGTAATACAGGAAGTGTAGGAAAAAGGAGTGGAAACAGAGAGAAATGCAGCCCTGCCATACTGTACCATCAGTCGGATTGGCAAATTCCCGAGGGACCGGAGCTCCTTCTGCAAGCGCCACAGACTCCAGATCAGTCTGCTCTGCAGTCCTGACATCCTGTTCTCTACTCTCGACGTCTTCCTCAGAGCGCGTGCTCTCACCTGTGCGTCGGAAACGGACAACACTACAGAAGAAAAATTCAAAAAGCAAGTGTATATATTTTCATAAAAGTCCAGGAAGATTAACTTATCTGCAATACGGTGGGTCAGAGGAGTCACAGAAGATGAATGCCAGGGCAAAGCTGAGTACAAATGAGAGTCGGAGGCTGTTGCCTAGGTGATATGAGCTTTTTCTGGCTGTGATTTTGTGAATGGGTGGTATTACAGTCCTATGGGTGAACCATGTCAGGCCAACTGACACCTCTGCACTCTCTGCTTTAGTGTCTGGCAAGCTTTTAAAGGCTAAACACCCAGAGTCACACATGATTTCCGCAGATGGAAGGCTTAATCTTCTTCCACATGTAGATAATTGACGGTTTGTTTAGGATGAAACACTGAAAGCGAACGTGGAGAGAGCGCCAGTGATGCCTTAATCACTGTAATTACATAACACAGCCTACTTGCAATGTGAAGTAACAGTGCTGCGGATGAGATGTCCAGGGATATCTGTCTTCTACTGTAAATCTCTATAATCTTCATCTCTTTAGAAAGAAATACATACGAGTGAATGTGTAATTACCCAGCAGTAGGCTGCTGTAACAACCTAAAGTACCTGTGTGTTTTCTTGCTTGAGTAAAACAGATTTGCAGCCAAAGTGGTTCATTTTGAACATTTCTGTGGCTTTTGTTGCATGTAATCCGCAATTGTCTTTGAGAAATATCTCTTAATAGCCTTTACGCTTCATAATAATATGAAGCGTAAAGGCATAATTTGCACATTTTTGCACCATCTACACAGCTGTCTGACATGGTTAACATTGAGAAAATTATTATTTTACTTTATAATAGCTTTAACTGGCAGAATTTGTTCAATTAAAATCCTCTTTTGCTTGTTTGCTGTTATGCACCACAGTCTAATCCCTTGAATGTGAAGACCTACTTGACAATAAACTGAGATTCCTGGTTGTGATTGTGATGATGGCCAGGCTGCACTTTCATGGGCCAGCCGTTAGCTTAAATCATGTGCAGCAGGCTTGGAATAAATCACGTTAGCTCCTGAGTCATGACAGCAAACACGACAACAAGTTAGGAGGCAAAACTTATCAGCTCAGAAATCACAGCAAACATGTGTCCTTGTGAGTACAAATAACAGCCAAATTGATTTGTTAGGAAAAAGCCTGCGACTGTAAACAAACCGCAGCACCGGCGGAGCCTGGAGATGCTGTGTTGTTGTTGTGTTTTTTTTAACGTTTCCTGAACATTTTCTAGGTGATATGAGTGTTTGAAATGGGTTTTAATTGACTGCAGCTTTTGAGGAATGTCAGGCTATTTGTGGTCCAGCGAGCTAATCAAACACGGAGCTGTGAGGAGGGCGACGCGGCGGACAAACGTGTGTTTACGGTTTAAAAAAAAAAAAAATGGACGAACGAGACAGGGGGGAAAAAAAGAAAAGCGAAGGCTGTGGTTTACTCACGGCAGCTGTCTCAGTTGGAACAGATCATCGTCCATTTTGGTGTTCGTTGGCTCCCTTTGCCCTCATCGCCGTTCACATTATCACGACGAGCTCCGGCGGCTTCAGCACCGAGGAGAGCGACCGGAGAGCGTCTGTGAGCGCGACCTGCCGCCGTCAGCCAATCAGAGGCCGCCCTGCGCAGCCGCCGCACGAGACGCGCAGAGAGAGGGAGAGTGATCGGATGAGCTCGAGATGATCCACATGATCACTGAGGTCAACACACCAGCGATCAGCACCCACACACACCCACTCCCCCCCCGATCACATCGCTGACTCTGATTGAAGCCACGCCAGGCAAACACGGTGCAATTTAAACGGTGGTTCTGGATTTATTAATAGTCTTCTTCTTATCTAATCCAGTTGGCACAATGTACACGACCAGATTAGACCCGTGTTCTCCTGAAGAAGACCCATGGTGCAATAAATGCAAGTTACAAACGTGCTAACAGCAATCATAACATTCTATTTGCTGAAGCATTGGGTGCTAAACACTGAATAATGGTATCAATGTCAATTGCTTAATAATAAAGAACTCAATTTTATATGCAGTATTTCAGTTTATTGTGCAATATTTCACTATCATGTGCAATACACAATGCAAATGTGCATTGGTTTGTACCATGCAAGTCTATCTGTGTTGCATCTGTCAAACAGTGGCAAACCAAAGGGCTTTCCAGATGGGTTGGAAATCTATAACACAAAAAAGGGGAGAAAAAAATAATTACATAAAATGACATTAAAACATACACAGCAACAACAAAAAAAGACCAAGCATTGTAAGTTTTAATGGGATGGGAATTAAGCAACCAGAATGTACAAGATGAAATTTGTCTTTGTGAATTTAGCTAGTCAGAAAACTACTTTTTTAAAAAACAAAAATTTATTGCTACAATGACTTCAAAAAAAATCAATTTAACCTCATGTTTTGTTTATTTACCTGCTTTTTGACTATAAGCAATGACCCAAAAAAATCATGTTGAAGACTTTTTCTTACTTTATTTGAAAATGTTAGTAACATGCTAAATTACTTTAAAAGAACAAAGAGTAAAACAAACGAGTACTGTAAGTAAAAAGAACTAACATTAATCATAACATTCTAGTGGCTGAAACATTGCGTGACAAACACTGAACAATGACATCAACATCCATTGCTCAATAATAAATAACTACATTTTATATGCAATCTTTCAATGTTATGTGTAATATTTCACCATCACGTGCCATTTTTTAAAGTATTATATCCAGTATAACTTACTTTTCTGTTCTAATTTTCTTCTGGCTTATTTATTTATTTTGTTTTTGCTGATGTATCATACTTAATGCTATTTTCCTCAAACACTGTGTTTAATATCATGTTATTTTCTTCTTCTTTTTTTTTTTTTTTTTAGAAATATCTGGCACACAAATTTCCTTCGTGATTCGTTTTATAACACTTAAAATAAAAATGCAATAGATGATTTTTGATGTAGACAAACTAAATAAACATAGTTACGATGCTACGGGGAGAAAAGCATAAAGAATATTATTTTGTTGGTAGATTCTGTGTTTCTTTTCATTGCTGCACAAAAATCACAACAAACTACTCCGAATAAGAACAAAACAATAATAAATGTAGCAGTGGTTCAGATGGCGGTTTATTTATTTATTTATTTATTTATTAAAAGCATTAAACTCGTATTAGTGGTGAGAATGGTTTGCATTTTGTCATACATTTTCTTCACCGGACTTAACGTCGTTAATCATTTCTGAAATGTGCGCCACAAACATTTGGTGGTCGGAGTGTTACCGGTGTGACACATCAGTGCGCTCCTCCGCGGGTCCGTCCTGAAACACGGAACCGATGGCGAGAGTTCCCGGAGGACAACAGGATGTTGTGGTGCCGACCAGAGAGCTCTGATAAGCTCGTTGGGGAGTTTCTTGGCACCGGACCCGTAATCAGGTAAAACCTCTCAACGTGGAAAACAACAACAGCTGCAACTTTATATCTAGAGCACGGTGACGGACGTTAGCAAAGCGGGTCACGGTGCCGTCGTGGGTCGGAGTGTAACATGCGCAGACACGCAGTCCGCTTTAATGTCACACTTACTAAACCTGCTAACGGAGGTCCGCGGTGACATTAGTGGGGGATTCTGTGTGTATTTCAAGATAGCAGCTTGGATGTTTGTTCATGGAGGCGACATAGTGCGCGGAGGGCAGCCTGACCTCGGTGTTGTCGGTAAGTTAGCACAGACGCTAAAGCTAGCTTCTCTTCTCCGGAGTGTGTGCTGTTGACAGAGTGAGGTTTACACACTGGACAGGTGGGATAGTTAAAAACGCTGAAAGCTCAAAATATATCCCGCACATGGTGGTGAATGATGGTATCCAACACTTCAAGCCTGCTAGCCGGACTACTAGCACACCGGGTCATGTTGATGTTGGCTTTGCGTCATGCCCTCTTTTTACCGCAGACAAACTAATTGGATCACAGGGTTAGTGCATAATTAATTTATTTAGCTTTGCGTTACGTTCTGTTTTGTCTTGGTTTTGTAGGTTAAAGCACGCAGTCATTACAAATGGAAAAATATGCTGTAAAGACTTTCGAGCCACATGGTTGAAAGCAGTGAAATCTCTCCTTTTTTGCATTTTCTTCAATATAAGTCAGAAACTGTGTTTTAAAGAGTCTGTAGCCTCTCTGGTATGATCCAAGCTGTCTGTAGATACTGGACTTTGGTCTTGATATGGTTTAATATGGTCCAGATACGAAAAAAACAGTGATTGTTCTGTTTTTGCCATTTCAAAAAAAAAAAAGAAAAGAAAGTTTCACTCGCCAGACACTGTGTTTGAGTCTTAACTAGCTGTAGGACTTTTTTTTTTTTTGCAGATTTGAACAGTTCTTAATCAGAACCTGGTCAACAGTGAAATCTCTCTTTTTTGCATTTGTGAAAATGCAGTAGAAGTGATGCAAATCAAAGATAGCATTTTAAAGGGTCTTTAGTCTCCCTGTAAGCACCGTAGTTTCACGTACAGTAAAGACCATCAGTATTTGTTGCCTTTTTTCCTCTCATTTCAGACCATTGGATAAATCCAAGTGTCTTGTGTTTAAAGAAAGGAAGCCGCAATTAATACTGGTTTGAAGATTTTCAGTTCTTATCATTTGAACTTGGTGCTGGCTGAAACCTTTTTTGGGGAACTGCCAAACAATCCTCTCTGCAGGAAAAACCCTGCACACAGAAAAGATGCTGCTGCCTTTAATTATATATCATGTTGGCATCATAGCCAACAATCTACTTATTGTTAATTATAGGGCCTAGACACTGCTGTTAGATCAAGTCAAATCAGATCAGGTTTATTGTCATTCTGCTGTACACACACAGTAGTACAGACAAGACGAAAGAGCGTTTCTTCAGGTTCATTTAAGTTTTGCGGAATGAACGCCTGGGATAGGACACTAAACGTTCACTGTCGCTGTCTCCTGAAGGGGCCACTGCGTCCATGAGCGCCGCCATCACCATGGTGATGTGGCGAATAGGCAAAACACATTTATTTCTGTTTGACTTCTCTCCAGTTGTGCTTCTTTATGATGTGTTGTCTTTTTGCAGAAACAAGATGATAAAAAACTGGGGTGTCATTGGTGGGATAGCTGCTGCCATTGCAGCCGGAGTTTACGTTTTGTGGGGCCCCATTACAGAGAGGAAGAAGAGAAAGAGAGGTAAGAGTGAGTGTGGCAGTGTGACACACGGATTAAGGGTCGACCAGTATGTTTTCTCAATGCTGATGATTAGTAATCAAGGAGACTGATAGCCGATATGTGGAAATGAAATACATTTGCTGTTAAATTGAAACTCTAGTTGTCAACATGTTGGATATCATAAACTCCAACATGGATTGCCTTTATTTATTTTTGTTTTACATATGTTTAATTAGGGTTAGCACCGCTGCCTCGCAGCAAGAAAGTTGCCGGTACCAAGTTGAGGTTAATTGGTGATTCTAAATTGTCCGTAGGTGTGAATGTGAGTGTGCTTGGTTGTCTGTCTCTAAGTGTAGCCCTGTGATAGACTGGTGACCTGTCCAGGGTGTTGGATTAAGCGGTGCATAGATAATGGATGGATGGATGTGTTTAATTAAAAGAGAACCCTTCCACATTTATTCTTCTATGTTTTGAGGCTGTTAGTTGTGATGTGTCACAAATGTGACAGTGCTTTATATGAGACATTGCTACAGAGAGGGACAGACAGCCACACAAGAGCTAAAATCACATTTTTTTTATATTATTAGAAACTGGTTAAAAACATAATGATACAATAATCGCAAAAATGCAGAATACGCGGGCTGATCATCAATCGATCCTTCACACAGGTTTTATGTTGGACTCCGGTTACACTGCAGTAACTTCCAATGACTTGTTCTTTCCTGCAGGCATGGTTCCAGGTCTGTTAAACCTGGGCAACACCTGCTTCCTGAACTCTTTGCTTCAGGGCTTGGCGGCATGTCCGTCCTTCATCAGGTGGCTGGAGAAGTTTTCAGGTTTACCAACAATCCAGTCATGCAAAGACAACCGGCTGTCTACTACACTGCTGCAGCTTCTCAAAGGTCTGTCATACAAGTCAGTAGAGCGTGATGGACATGCTGCGTTAGTTCATGTTTTTCACACGGGTGCTGTTTCTGCACCGACAGCTCTGTCCAGTGATGAGCCCGGGGAGGAAGATGTGCTTGATGCCGGATGCCTCCTGGATGTGCTCAGACTGTACCGGTGGCACATTAGCTCATTTGAAGAACAGGTTAGTCAGTAATGCTGTTGAGGTGTTTGGTTTTTTTTGCATTATGTAATGTAGGGTGCAGTGTTTTATGAGTCCTTTCTTGTTGTTTATCTCCTCTCAGGATGCACATGAACTTTTCCATGTTCTTACATCTTCCCTGGAGGAGGAGCGGGATCGTCAGCCCAAAGTCACTCATTTGTTTGACATGCAGTCGCTCGAGGCAAGTTATCACCCCCCTACGTGCACTCAATGCACTTAAATCTCTCTTGCATGCTGCACCCTGTCCTCTGCAGTTCAGTTTAGCACATGTGGAGTCTAAAGTTTTTGCACCATTTTAATCTAAAGCTCCAGTCAATCTTAAAACTGCAGCCAGTGGATTCATTTTTGGTCTTTATTTTTATCCCAGAGTCTCCCTGATCAAGATGACAAAACTATGACCTGCAGAAGTCGAGGTAAGAAGACAAAGAAATCATTAAACCCTAGATAATAAAAACATAAAGAAGTGTATGTATAATCCGTGTTATTTGTTTGGCAGCTCCTCTTCATCCGATTCCGAGTCCGTGGAAGTTTCAGCATCCTTTCCACGGTCGCTTAACAAGCAACATGTCCTGCAAGCGCTGCGAACTACAAGTGAGGGTTTTTTGTTTGTTTGTTTTGTCAGAGAAGTGAATAGCAAGTTGGTTTGTGTTGTATGACCTCTGCTTTGTGTTTTTTATTAAGAGTCCAGTGCGATATGACTCCTTCGAGAGCCTGTCCCTGTCCATTCCCTTACCTCAGTGGGTAAGCAAACACATCAGGAGCACATGAGTGTTATTATTATTATTATTACAGTATCTTTGTGTAATAGTTTGTTTATTGTCATTTCATCTGTGTTCTCAGGGCCGGCCCATCTCTCTAGATCAGTGTCTTCAGCATTTTATCTCCTCAGAAACCATCAAAGAAGTGGAGTGTGAAAACTGCACCAAGGTACATTTACTACAGTATCAGTGTCTTGTTAAATTACGGTAAACGTTTTGTTGAATGATTTACTGAAAAGCAAAGACTGGAAACTTGCTGGTATGTTTTGGACTAATTTTCTTTACAAAGATGTGTTTTGCAGACTTTCTTTCATCTCTGCTGTTGATCATTTCTCTTCAGCTTCAACAAGGGACCACAATTAATGGGCAAGTCCTGGAAAGCCAGAGGACAACATTTGTTAAACAGCTAAAACTGGGAAAGGTAACTGAATTCAGAATGTCTCTGTCAGCGAAATATGAATAGACTGAGATCGTAATTGGCAGTTTGAAAGTCTTTACCAATTTAAAGCACTTTAAAATTCTGTCTAATTAATTAAAGAGGTGTAAGATTAGTGGGTAGATCACGGTTTCTCTTTATTTGCTAATGACGGGTGTTGCCTCTGTTAGCTCCCTCAGTGCCTCTGCATCCATCTACAAAGACTGACGTGGTCCAGCGAAGGAACCCCCATCAAACGGCAGGAGCACGTGCAGTTCACAGAGTATCTGTCAATGGACCGCTACAAACACAACAGCTCCACTCTGAGGACTCAGCGGATCAAATGCGCTCCAAAAGCCATAAAGGCAGAAAATTCCGATGATTCCACGGAGAAGCCCACCGCTAATGGCACAGGTATGTTGGGTTTTTTAATCTGTAGCATCATTCTACTGCAAAGTCAGTTCTTTTTTTGTCATGCATCATTCTTTTTGTATATTTTCTTTTCCAGATGCAGAGCATCACAACAACAACAAACCTTTTTCTAATGGAACCTGTTCGTCTGTATTCCTTCAGTCTCCGGGTGCGAACCCACAGCTCAGCCTCACATGTGACTACAGGTAAATAGAAGAAGTTCAGTGTTGTGGTGGCAATCAGGAGCCCTGTTCACAAGTGGGACACATACCAGAATAGAGAAAAAAATCAGAGCGCTCTTGAGCTGCTGCTGCTGCCTTTATGTTAATCTGATGGCATTCAAGTCTTTAATTCATGCTTTTATTTGTGTTGAAAACTATCAGGAAACGTTACTGATTCAAACATGAGATTGGCATTTAAAGTTACTGTGAATGTAAAAGGGTGCACGGACAAAATGATAATTAAGATTATTTCATTCAATACTAAGAGGTAGATATGTTTTAACAATATTGAGGGCACATTTTTTTTTATTGCATTTTGACAGTTAAAATGTTAAAATATTATTTTCAAAAATCAGAACATAGACTAAATCTTTTCACGCCTTCACTCATTGCTGTCTCTTTACAAAATCTAATTTAGTTTCGCATTTAAACAGCGTCTAAAAATGTAACAGTCTGAGACTTTTTATTGAGGAGTAATTTGTATTCAAATGATTCTCACATTGAAATGGGTAAAAGGCAGAATGGTTAAAGTGTTAAAGCATTTAAAGTTTAAAGAATGGAGACAGCTTTGTTTCATAAGGATTGCTTCTGTCACGCAAAATTACTTTGTTAAAAAAAAAATCTTTATCTACATTGTAGATTAAAAAAACACCAGTATTTGCTCAGGGTGTGTGTATCTGATAGTGTTCAAAAGAACAAATTGCACTGGTTCTGAAATTAGTCCCCCACCTGCAACGATAGGTGGGGAACTACCTGAAAGAAGCTGAATGAATGTATCAAGACCAAACAACATGTGCAGATGACTCCATGCAGGGCACCAGTAGTGACTTATGGTCAGTGATCAGTATTTGTCTTTTGATCACAGTGTTGTTCCTTCCAGCTCTACAGAGTACCTTTTCCAGCTCACGGCTGTGCTGGTTCACCACGGTGACATGCACTCAGGACATTTCGTCACGTACCGCCGCAGCCCTCCCTCTCCTCGCAGCTCTTCTCCCTTCAGCTCCCAGTGGCTGTGGGTGTCGGACGACTCGGTACGCAAAGCCAGCCTGCACGAGGTGCTGTCTTCCAACGCCTACATGCTCTTCTACGAGAGAGTTCGAAGGCTCAGCCTCGCCCTGCGCTCAGAGGAATAACCAGAAGCTCACAGCTGGACTGACTTCTACCTTTCCAATCAAACGGCTACACTTGATGTGCCAGTTACCAACAGGCGGCTGTGTGACGCTGAGAGCAGAGAGGAAAGCCATCAAGACTTATTAAAACTTTCATGGGTCACAGCAACATGGTGAAGGTCACAGTGTGATGTGTTCTGGACTCTCTGCCTGCTGCTCTGATCAGAGCAGGAGGCTCTTAATCCCAAAGATAATGGACCTGCAGGATTTTAGTCAAATATCATTGATCATGTAAGCTACTTTTCTTTGACACGTTACAAAATCTGTCGTAACGTTTTGGCTTCTACAGGACAAAGAAACAGGAACACCTGACAATGTAGTGCACGCTGAAGTAATAGCTCTGCAATACATCATTGATGATGCTTATGTTACTTTTGTCGAGGCAGTCAGAAGTGTCGACTCATTCTGTGGCATTTTTATGATGCTGTAGTTTCAAGTATTACATTTGTATGCAATATGCTTTAAGGTGTTCTTGTTATTTTGTCCGTGGCCTGTACTTTACAGACACCGACAGAAGTAGTGGATTAGGATTTATCAGAGATGTGATTTAGGAGTTGTTACATATGAGAAGTCATATAGGTAGAATTTCCCTTAACTCTGGCTCTCTGTTGTCTAATCTAACTTGCCTAATCATTCCCAGCAGTGTACCTGATCTGTATTGGAAATAACGTTTCGATCGACCCGGTTCAGCTGTTGAATTTGATATTTAGCTGTTTCCAAATATCCTCACACTGTCGTGATTTGCAGAGCAGAACAGTTGAGGATCAAGTGCCATGTTGTTGAGATTTTTAACTCCTGAAACCACGAGTGCTACCAATAATGTGAGCGTCCAAAGAGGACTCTTCCCGAAAATATGACGCATCATAGCCATTTGGCCTGGTGTGGGTGTTTCACAGATTAATACTGATCTGTCCTCAGTTAAAGTATAACTGCAAGTTTCTGGGCAAGTTATACTGATTGTTTTTTAATTCTGTGTAACTGAGAACTGCCGTTTCCTACTGAACCAACTAAGTCAAAATGAGTTGTGGTGCAAAAAACCCCTTAATGTTTGCAGTTTGCACTGATGTATATTCATGTGAGATTGTGTATTTGTGTGCAGTCTGTCAAGGTGATTGTTTTCAGGTATTAAAGAACATGCAAATGTGAACTTTTAGAGGTTTTGTTTATTAAAACAGGATGATAATTTACTGCTTTTATAACAACAGAGGTTGTCTGTCAGTAGACAAACATGGATCAAGCACAAACTTTCTGAGGCGTCCTTGACCAAAACGCTGAACCTCACAGGCAGAACATTTTTCAAATGAATAAATAAAATACATCATTTAAAGAGGTGCCAAAGGCAGAGACTGCCAAAATAATATCTGGTCAAGTGGACCACCCGCTTATAAAACCTTGAGAGTTTTGAAAGCTCTGGAAAAGGAAAGCAGTAGATGTTAAGGTCTGTGCTTCAAACTGTTTCAAGGCCAGAAAATGAACTTTAATGTTGATTTCTTGTTGAAGTCCTACAAAGTGGCTTAATCAATACATCAGCCGCCCTGTCCAGCACGTTAAACCCATTATAGCAAAGTCTGACAGGGTTTCAACCAAGCACAGAATCTATGGAGTGTAATTCAAAGAAGTGACATTTCTAACTGCTTATACAGCTCTCCTCCAACATGTTGAAGGCTCAATTTGCATTTAACACACAGAGACCTGTTATTTTACAGCTTCAACACAAGTAGTTGAATATCGTCTAAATGGGCCACATTCAGTAAGAACCAGTGATGTTTCATATAAGGTTGAATTGTTCAAGGGTTTTCCCATCTCAGATCAACAGAGCCTTCTGATCAGCCATCTCTGATTTGCTTGATTTAAAACAGTATCTGAGAAACTTTAGTTTGATATATCAATTACTTTCTAAGATTACTTTTTTTTTTTTTTTTAATCCCGTCGACCCACTTTCGGCTTGTTTTTTAGCACATTGAGATTTGAAGCTATGCTTGAATGAAAACATTACAGAGACAATAAAGGATGAAAGCTTGACATTTCACTAGAATTTCTGGGCATATATTTTAAAAAAATAAAAATAATTCCCAGTTATATTTGAAGAACCAGTTGGATTAGGCGATAGAGCAACAGTTTTGTTTTTGCGACACCAACAACCTTTTTTTTTTTTTAACGATCTGACTTTTTACAAAGGCTTAAATTTATTCACATTTCAACTCACCCATAATTGAAGATTATCTGATCTACATGTTCAATGTTGTACAAATAATCGCAAAAAATGTCAGGCTTTTATCTTTAAAAGTTACTGAGATATTTATACATTATATTTATATCATTTAAGCCTCAAGAAAGAAAGAAAGAAATCTGAAAGCATTTGCTATATGAATCTAAACCTCCACAGATGTCTTTATAAATATCCAGATTTTGTACTATAAAGATTTCAGGCAAATCAGAGATGGTTGAGCAGAAATAGTGATAAAAATGTGATGATTTGAGATGGAATGAGGTTTTTATTAAGGCTGTCAGCTGCTATACAAAACTAACATCTTCCTAAAATAAGCTGAAGTGGTGGTTGAAGGATTTTGCTGAAAGTTTTCACTTATTTCACTTTACTCTTGTTTAATCTCTCAGATTCAGCTGCAACATTACTAAACACACTCTGAAGTTGGGATGAGTTGATGCTCCAGAGGACCTTTGCCTAAACTGAAGCTCCACTGTCTCTTAGTCTCTCCTGGGCAGCAGTACATCTGGTCCAGCTCACCATCTACACTCCGCTTGGTCTCATTTCTTGCTGGCCGGTATGATGCGTCTAAAGGTGAGGTTGATGCGAGGCGAGAGGACCTTCTTGCGAACAGGAAGGCTGTGGTACCAGAAGGTGTTGGTCGGCGGGTTCATGAGGAGAAGGCTTCCGTGAGCGAGCTCCAGCTTCACGGGTTCAATCTGTCGGCAGCTCTGCTTCCCTCGAGCGTCTCTGTGCCTGAAGATGAAGTCTCGTGCTGCTCCAAAAGAGACGGAGGCGATGGGAGAAACCGGGTCCAGCTCCCTCTCGTCGTCCCGATGCTCACCCATGCGGTCCAGCCCGTCTTTGTACCTGATGGAAGACTTTCAGCAGTTAAACCTTCCTCTAGATTTACAGCTTCTATTGGTAGTTTCTCACCTGTTGACCAGGACAAAGTTGAATGTCCGTCCTGTCGTTTTGGTGACAGCATCCCGAATGTGCTCCAGGGTTGGAGTCCATGGGCGGGCCGAATGTTTCACCCCAGAGTACGTGTAAATTAGACCCACATCTCCGTATGTTGCCTGCTTTCTTGGTATATCGTGCATCTTTCCAAACACATGCACCTTTGCTCTCTCTCCTGGAACAAAAAAATGCTCAATTAAACCTCAACTTCTGGTCGTAACTTCACAGAAAAAGTGCTCCTGTTGTACCTGTTGAGTAGACCACCTCCTCCTCCAGCTGTTTAAAAAGCTGGTCTGCTTCCTGTTTAGAGAAGAGCAATGCATAATCACAGTCCAGTCTGTCTGCCTCTATTTTTCTCCAGGGAACAGGATGGGAGAACTCTGCTGAAGCTGCATCCTCATCCTCCTCAGCATCCTCCTCCTTCATCCTCTCACTTATCTCCAGTTTCATCTTCTTCTTTGGACTTTTTTGGACATCGCTGGTGGAAGAGCGTTTACTCTGTTCTCCAATCACAAACTTTTCCATTGCAGTAAGATGCTGTTGGTGGCAGAAGAAACAAACATTACATCAGTAAAAATCTAGTTTTTGACCTAACTGATATGCCCATGTGGTGTTTCTTGTATGATAGAAGAGACAGAATGAGCAATTCTATTTTGAAACTGCAGCGCTTCATTGACTATCTGAAAAATGCGGATTCAAACTTTTGGGTTTCATATGTAACAAACCTAAAGAACCAGTCTAGTCAGCATAAACCTGCAGGGTGGAGCTTTCTGCATCATTATTATTAGTCTTCAGAATCACTTTCTGCTTTGAACATGGGTGTCTAAATCACCCCAATATTACAGCTTAGCACAGAGTGGTTTCACAGTGTTTGAACAGAGTTGTTGGTGAGCTGGTGTGCTCGAGCTGCAGCAAATGGGAAAAGAGGGAGACGCAGGGACTGAGTAGATCTGTTTAGAGGAAACAATAGTGCAGACTTACATGTAAGCCATCTTAAGGTAGGACAGGATTTTTTTCACGACAAAGAAAACGTTTTCAAATGTAGCTTTTATACACAGATGAGTTTTCAGGGGTTTAATCTATTAAAACTTTAACGTTGACTTTTAAATAACATTAGGAGAAAAGTATCTGTAATGTGGGTTTTGTATTGTTCATGTTTTATTTACTTGTTATATTGCTTTTAGGCCTTTATTGCTTATTGCTCCAGCAGGTTGTGGATTGTTCTGGAGCTGCAGGGATCTACAGTTACTTATTCCAACAGTAGATTCAGTGTGTACGGTTTCTTGCTTGTTTTCC